GTCACCCCGCCCCCCAGAGCCCCCCAGGGCCCCACCCGTGCCTTGCAGTCCTTCACGTCCAGCCAGTACTTGTGCAGCTTGACGATGTTGGGGTGATCCACCAGCACCAGCTGCTCAAACATGGTCTTGATCTTCTCCTGGGGGCACATCCCAGGGCCCCCCAGAGCCCCCCCAGACCCCCCCAGAGCCCCCCAGGGCCCCACCCGTGCCTTGCAGTCCTTCACGTCCAGCCAGTACTTGTGCAGCTTGACGATGTTGGGGTGATCCACCAGCACCAGCTGCTCAAACATGGTCTTGATCTTCTCCTGGGGGCACAGGGCAGGTGAGGGGGGGCTGGGGACAGGTGAGGGGATGGTGGGGACAGGTGAGGGGCTGGGGACAGGTGAGGGGCTGGTGGGGACAGGTGAGGGGCTGGGGACAGGTGAGGGGCTGGCATGGACAGGTGAGGAGAAAGGTGCTGGGATGGGGCAGGACAGGTGAAGTGGAAGCCCCTGGGATGGGACAGGTAAGGTGGAAGGTGCTGGCATGGACAGGACAGGTGAGGAGAATGCTCCTGGCATGGGGCAGGACAGGTGAGGTGGCAGGTGCTGGATGGGATAGGTGAGGTGAGGTGGAAGCTCATGGGATGGACAGGACAGGTGAGAAGGACACTCTTGGGACAGGACAGATGAGGTGGAAGGTGCTGGGATAGGACAGGTGAGGTGAAGTGGAAGCTCCTGGCATGCAGAAGGTCCCAGGATGGACAGGACAGGTGAGGCGGAAGCTCCTGGCATGGGGCAGGTGAACAGGAAGATCCTGGGATGGGGCAGGTGAAGAGGAAGCTCCTGGCATGGGCAGGACAGGTGAACAGGAAGCTCCTGGGATGGGACAGGTGAAGAGGAAGCTCCTGGCATGGGGCAGGTGAAGAGGAAGATCCTGGGATGGGGCAGGACAGGTGAAGAGGAAGCTCCTGGCACGCAGAAGCTCCCAGGATGGGGCAGGACAGGTGAGGAGGATACTCCTGGGATGGGACAGATGAACAGGAAGCTCCTGGGGCAGGACAGGTGAAGAGGAAGCTCCGGGCATGGGCAGGACAGGTGAAGAGGAAGCTCCGAGCACACAGAAGCTCCCGGGATGGGGCAGGACAGGTGAGGAGGAAGCTCCTGGCATGCAGAAGGTCCTGGGATGGGGCAGGACAGGTGAGGAGGATACTCCTGGGATGGGACAGGTGAAGAGGAAGCTCCTGGCACGCAGAAGCTCCCAGGATGGGGCAGGACAGGTGAAGAGGAAGCTCCTGGGGCAGGACAGGTGAACAGGAAGATCCTGGGACGGGACAGGTGAGGAGGATACTCCTGGGATGGGGCAGGTGAACAGGAAGCTCCTGGGACGGGACAGGTGAGGTGGAAGCTCCTGGCACGCAGAAGCTCCCGGGATGGGGCAGGGCCCCCCAAGCCCTGGGGATGCCCCAGGCACTGCCCCCAGGTTCCTGGGAGCTCCCTTGGAGGCAGCAGCCCAGCAGGGCCCCGTGGCAGGGGGCAGGAGCCCCTCCTGCCCGGCTGTGCCCCCCGGGAAGCTGCGGGGGGCTCGGGGGGCTCACCTCGTGTGCTTTGAAGGCTTTCTTGTCGGTGAAGAGCAGCTCGTTCCACACCACCTCCACTCCCTCCTCCGTGTCCATGGCCAGGAAGGTGCTCTGGATGCCGGGCATGTTCCCCTGGTTCACCTGGGGACAGGGGGGCTGCAGTGTCACCCCGGTTCTTTAAGGTCTTCTTTCTGATCTTTGCATTCTTGTAACGAACTTTCTCACATAAATATACGTCTATATGTAAATAGCTTATTGTTTTGCATTCTTTTGTAGAAAAAGAAAAATTCAGTAAGCTGTTCATTCGTCCAGTGTCACTTCCCCCCTCCAATCCACTGTCACTTCTAAAAGTCTATAAATGTGAAATCGGAAAATAAACTTCCCTTTTTACCTTAAAAAAAGCGACCAAATCCGCCTCGTGCTGTTTGGTGCTCTGCAATAACCCTTCAGGGGAGGCTGGCAGCCCCTGCTGCACGGGCAGCTCCCAAAAAAACCACATTTTCTTTCCTCTCTGGCCCCTCCTGGCCTGATCAGCCACACCTTACTGGTTAACCTGGGCTGTGCACAGCCCCAGCTCCATCCAGGCGTTTCTGGGAATCCAGAGAGGTTCTGAGCACGGGAGCCTGCTCTGGGAGGTGCACAGGGACCAGACACTTCCCTCAGCAATTCCACAAATAAATATATTAAATAAAATGATAACCATCACAAACCCCTGCCCTGGGAGGTGCACAGTGACCAGACACTTCCCAGAGCAAATGCACAAATAAATACATTAAATAAAATAATAACCATCACAAACCCCTGCTTTGGGAGGTGCACAGTGACCAGAGACTTCCCACAGCAAATGCACAAATAAATACATTAAATAAAATAATAAATTAATTGGCAGGAACCCCTGCTCTGGGAGGTGCACAGCGACCAGACACTTCCCTCAGCAATTCCACAAATAAATACATTAAATAAAATAATAACCATCACAAACCCCTGCTTTGGGAGGTGCACAGTGACCAGAGACTTCCCACAGCAAATGCACAAATAAATACATTAAATAAAATAATAAATTAATTGGCAGGAACCCCTGCTCTGGGAGGTGCACAGCGACCAGACACTTCCCACAGCAAGTGCACAAATAAATACATTTAATAAAAAGATAAATGAACCATCAGGAACCCCTGCTTTGGGAGGTGCACAGTGACCAGAGCTGTCAAGTGCACAAATAAATATATTAAATGAAATAATAAATGAGCCGTCAGGAACCCCTGCTCTGGGAGGTGCACAGTGACCAGACACTTCCCACAGCAATTCCACAAACAAATACATTAAATAAAATAATAAATGTACCGTCAGGAACCCCTGCTTTGGGAGGTGCACAGCTACCAGATACTTCCCACAGCAAGTGCACAAATAAATATATTAAATAAAATAATAAATGTACCGTCAGGAACCCCTGCTCTGGGAGGTGCACAGTGACCAGAGACTTCCCACAGCAATTCCACAAACAAATACATTAAATAAAATAATAAATGAACCATCAGGACCCCCTGCTTTGGGAGCTCCTTACACACTCCCCTCGGTGTCACTGCCAGAGCAGGGCGTGCTCCCACAGTCACTGACACGACACTTCCCACAGCAATTCCACAAATAAATACATATAAATACATACACACAAATACATAAAAATAATAAATGAACCGTCAGGAACCCCTGCTTTGGGAGGTGCACAGTGACCAGAGACTTCCCACAGCAAATGCACAAATAAATATATTAAATAAAATAATAAATGAACCGTCAGGAACCCCTGCTCTGGAAAACGGTTCCTGCCCAGGACCAGCAGGGTCTCCGCGCTCCCACGACACTCCCTGCCACGGCCACGGGGCACTCTTAGGAATAAAGCTTTTTTGGAGTGAAGGTCTAGCCGCACGTGGGGCGCCAGTTAAAAATCACGGAATCACGGAGTCACGGAATCATGGAATCAAAAAATCACGGAATAACGGAATCACGGAATAACGGAACCATGGCACCATGGAATCACAGAATCACAGAATCACGGAATCAGGGACTCACAGAATCAAGGAATCACAGAATCATGGAATTACAGAATCACGGAATCACAGAATCAGGGAATCATAGAATCACGTAATCACTGAATCACAGAATCAAGGAATCACCGAATCACAGAGTTACAGAATCACGGAATCACAGAATCATGGAATCATAGAATCACGTAATCACTGAATCACAGAATCAAGGAATCACCGAATCACAGAGTCACAGAATCACGGAATCACAGAATCACGGAATCACAGAATCACGGAATCACAGAATCAAGGAATAACAGAATCACAGAGTCACGGAATCACGGAATCATGGAGTCACAGAACCATGGAATCACAGAATAACGGAATCACGGAATCACAGAGTCACAGAATCACGGCATTACAGAATCACGGAATCACGGAATCACGGAATCACAGAATCACGGAATCACAGAATCAAGGAATAACAGAATCACAGAATCACGGAATCACGGAATCATGGAGTCACAGAACCATGGAATCACAGAATAACGGAATCACGGAATCACAGAGTCACAGAATCACGGCATTACAGAATCACGGAATCACGGAATCACGGAATCACAGAATCACGGAATCACAGAATCAAGGAATAACAGAATCACAGAGTCACGGAATCACGGAATCATGGAGTCACAGAACCATGGAATCACGGAATAACGGAATCACGGAATCACGTTATTACAGAATCACAGAATCACAGAATCACGGAATCACAGAATCACGGAATCACAGAATCACGGAATCACGGAATCACAGAATCACAGAATCACGGAATCATGGAATAACGGAATCATGGAATAACGGAATCACGGAATCACAGAATCACGGACTCACAGAGTCACGGAGTCACAGAATCACGGAATCACGGAATCACAGAGTCACGGAATCACGGAATCACGGAATCACGGAATCACAGAATCACAGAATCACGGAATCACGGAGTCACAGAATCACAGAATCACGGAATCACAGAATCACGGAATCACGGAATCACAGAGTCACGGAATCACGGAATCACGGAATCACGGAATCACAGAGTCACAGAATCACGGAATCACAGAATCACGGAATCACGGAATCATGGAGTCACAGAATCATGGAATCACGGAATAACGGAATCACGGAATCATCACGGAATCACAGAACCACAGAATCACGGAACCACAGAACCACGGAATCACGGAATCACAGAATAACGGAATCATCACGGAACCATGGAGTCACAGAACCATGGAATCACAGAATAACGGAATCACGGAATCACAGAGTCACAGAATCACGGAATCACAGAATCACGGAATCACAGAATCACGGAATCACAGAATCAAGGAATAACAGAATCACAGAGTCACGGAATCACGGAATCATGGAGTCACAGAACCATGGAATCACAGAATAACGGAATCACGGAATCACAGAGTCACGGAATCACGGAATCATGGAGTCACAGAACCATGGAATCACAGAATAACGGAATCACGGAATCACAGAGTCACGGAATCACGGAATCACGGAATCACGGAGTCACAGAATCACAGAATCATGGAATCATGGAATCACAGAATCACGGAATCACGGAATCACGGAATCACAGAGTCACGGAATCACGGAGTCACCGAATCACAGAATCACAGAATCACAGAATCACGGAATCACAGAATCACGGAGTCACAGAATCACAGAATCACGGAATCACAGAATCAAGGAATCACGGAATCACGGAATCATGGAGTCACAGAATCACAGAATCACAGAGTCACGGAATCACAGGCTAATGCGGGCGTTAAAGCGGCAGGTGCCGCTGCCCCTCTCTTGTGCCCAGCAAGCCTCTCCTGTGGAAAAGCAGGCTGAGTTGCCATTCAGGCCACGCAGCCAAAGCTCCACTCAACCCCCACGGCAGCTGGCTCAGCGACAGAGGCAAGAAAGGCTCTTTTGCACGGTTTTATCCCAGCAGAGTAACACAGTCGCTGTTGCAGCGCGTTTTTAGTTTTATTGGTCTGCTTGCTGTTCCGTTTGTGATCTTGCAATCCCCTTATGCCACTCCATACCAAGTTTTAAACCCCCACCTTCCCAGTCGTTAATCCCTCCTACCCCTGCCCTGTTCCCCCGAATCCCCCTTGCTCCCTGCTCCCTCTGGGTGTTAATCCTCCCCAAACCTGCCCTTTCTTCTGGAGAATTCCCTGTCTATCTTGCATCCTTTGGGACCCTATTAGTTTACCCAAGTTACTCCCCTCCCTAATGTGAAAAATGTGTGTTTTATGATTGGCTTTTCTCATTAAAATGAATATTGTATGTGTTATGTTAGAAAGTTGTGCCGTATTAATTTTCTTAACTAGTGTGTTAAATATAGTTTTAGGTTATAACATAATCTTAAAATAGAAACTGTGCTATGTAAGATATTTGTTTAAGAAAGGACTATGCACCAGATGGAAGCCACAGGACACCTAAATCTTTCAGAGAAAGGGAATTTATTGCTCCCTTATCAGCAGAAAACGAACTTTTTCCCACCTCGCTTAGACAGGAAGACGGCATGAGGATTCAGAGGAAGAAGTTGACAGTGACCAGACAGAATGTCTGAATGTGTTTGAATGGAATTTATGCATCATGTATGAGGTGCATGAATATGCAACAGGTGATTGTTTTTAAGGGTTAATCCTCTGTTAACCGGGGTCCTTTTTCGGGCTCGTGATGCCCAGAAAGAGGTACCCGGACATCCGTATCTCTTTGTTTTTATTGTCTCATATTCTCCTAATCTCAATTGTTCGAATTTTATTACTCTGATGATATTACTATTTTTATAACCATTTTATTACTATTAAACTTTTAAAATTTTAAAAACCAAGCGATTGGCGTTTTTCACACTAGCGCTTCCTTATTAAAGTGTAAAATACCCTGCCTCCAACCACACCCCTTTGGCCTGCTACCCCAAACCCCTCCTCCCGAGGGATGCCTAAAAGCTCCTGTTAGCCCCAGGTTTGGGTTTTGGGTGCTGATCACGAAATAAAGCCACCCCAGCGTCACCCCAAGACCCGCGCTGCTGCCTTTAGTTCCTGCGCCGAGCCG